AGGTGAAACTGAAGCCCACATGGTTTCTATGTTGGAAAAGGAGTGATGAAGCGTGTGGGAGGTGAAACTGAAGCCCACAGGTTTCATGTTTTGTGTGTCAGAAAAGGAGTGATGAAACGTGTGGAAGGTGAAACTGAAGCCCACAGGTTACTCGTTTTGTGTGTCGGAAAAGGAGTGATGAAACATGTGAGAGGTGCAACTGAAGCCCACACGTTTTGTCCAAGAGGGAGTGATGAAACGTGTGAGAGAGGTGAAACTGAAGCCAACACGTTTTGTCAGAAAAGGAGTGATGAAACATGTAAGAAGTGAAACTGAAGCCCACACGTTTCGTCCAAAAGGGAGTGATGAAATGTGTGAGAGAGGTGAAAATGAATCCCACAGGTTTCACATTTTGTGTCAGAAAAGGAGTGATGAAACATGTGGGAGAGGCGTGTGGAAGAGGTGAAACTGAAGCCCACAGGTTTCATGTTTTGTGTGTCAGAAAAGGAGTGATGAAACGTGTGGGAGGTGAAACTGAGGCCCACAGGTTACCCGTTTTGTGCGTCGGAAAAGGAGTGATGAAACGTGAGGTGAAACTGAAGCCCACACGGTTTCATGTTTTGTGTGTCAGAAAAGGAGTGATGAAATGTGTGGGAGAGGTGAAACTGAAGCCCACAGGTTTCACATTTTGTGTCAGAAAAGGAGTGATGAAACATGTGGGAGAGGTGAAACTGAAGCCCACGCGGTTTCTGTGTTGGAAAAGGAGTGATGAAACGTGTGGGAGAGGTGAAACTGAAGCCAACAGGTTTCACGTTTTGTGTGTCAGAAAAGGAGTGATGAAGTGTGTGAGAGGTGAAACTGAAGCCCACACGTTTCCCATTTTGTGTGTCGAAAAGGAGTGATGAAACGTGTGGGAGAGGTGAAACTGAAGCCCACACGTTTCATATTTTGTGTGTCAAAAGGGGTGATGAAACGTGTGGAGAGGTGAAACAGAAGCTCACACCTTTCACTTTTTGTGTATCAGAAAAGGAGTTATGCACCGTGAGAGAGGTGTAACTGTAACTGTATCTCTTTTGTGTGTTGGAAAAGGAGTGAAGCATGTGGCAGAGGTGAAACTGAAGCCCACAGGTTTCACTTTTTTTTTGTTGGAAAAGGAGTAATGAAACATGTGGGAGGTGAAACTGAAGCTCACAGGTTTCACATTTTGTGTGTCAAAAAAGGAGTGATGAAGCATGTGGGAGAGGTGAAACTGAATCCCACAGGTTTCCAGTTTTGTGTCAGTAAAGGAGTGATGAAACGTGTGAGAGGTGAAACTGAAGCCCACACGGTTTCTGTGTTGGTACAGGGGTGATGAAACGTGTGAAAGGTGTGAAACTAAAGCCCACAGGTTTCACATTTTCTGTGTCAGAAAAGGAGTTATGAAGCGTGTGGGAGACGTGAAGCTGAAGCCCACAGGTTTCACATTTTGTGTGTCAGAAAAGGAGTGATGAAACATGTGCGAGGTGAAACTGAAGCCCACACGTTTTACGTTTTGTGTGTCAGAAAAGGAGTGATGAAACGTGTGGGAGAGATGAAACTGAAGCCCACAGGTTTCACGTTTTGTGTGTCAGAAAAGGAGTGATGAAACGTGTGGGAGAGGTGAAACTGAAGCCCAAACGTTTCACATTTTGTGTGTCAGAAAAGGAGTGATGAAACGTGTGGGAGAGGTGAAACTGAAGCCCACAGGTTTCACGTTTTGTCTGTTTCAGAAAAGGAGTGATGAAGCATGTGGGAGAGGTGAAACTAGCCCACAGGTTTCCCGTTTGGTGTTGGAAAAGGAGTGATGAAGTGTGTGGGAGAGTTGAAACCTGAAGCTCACACGTTTCTCATTTTGTGTATCAGAAAAGCAGTGATGAAACGTGAAAGAGGTGAAACTGAATCTCAGGTATCTATTTAAATCACACCAACCTTCTGTTTTCTGAGTGCTGTGACATTTAGGCCCAAAGCTAAAAGACGCTTTCTCTGATTTTACACCTGTGTGCCTCTGACGTGTAGACATAACAACTTGTAGCAAATTTTTTTTAACACCGTAAGTTGTTAATGAGGCCACAATTCATTGTGGCAAACTTTGAGACAGGCTGTTTGGATGATGAAATAATATTTATCTATTAGTTTTTGTGCAAATAATTTCATTGTATTTAAAATGCCCATGTAAAACACAACACCTGTTGTTTTAAATGTTCTCTATAAATGAGTTTGACTTTGGCACCCCCGCTGTGTCAAGCAGTGGCCTCATTGAAATGATCAGGGCACTGCATCTGTTTGGAACATGACCCAACAACCAGCCAGATATTTCAAATTTCCATAGACCTGTTACCCTTTTGTACTCCACCATGACTAAACACAATATTATCACATTCATTAAATGAATACACAACTCACCTGTTGTAACTTATTATATGATATTTGTTTTACTACAGCTGAATAAACTTAGAGACTTGCAGGTGTTGTAGTTTGACTGAGACCTGCCTCAGTAGCAAAAACTTAAATGTGTATTATGAAACACTAGTGAAAACCATAATGACCTAATTTGTTGGGGAAAACTAACAGTACACAACTTGAGAGTTTTTAATGTGCACTAAGTAAGCTTGGGTTGGATGGGTGGTCACTTGCGTAGCACATACTGACGGTAGTGAGTCTGGGGTCAGTCTGAGTTTGTGGTTGTTGTGAAGAAACCTTTCCTCACAGTTCTCCACCACACACAGACAACCACACACTCTCACATGAGCAGACCCATTAAACTCACTTTCATAAGTCCCCGATGACCTGGCCAGACGTTAAGCGAGCTGATTAGCTGGTGCAAGCCCAAAGTGCCAGGTCTGCTTAAAAGGGCACTGAGTGGGCGCCACATTGGGACCCCATAAGACTGTTTGTGCGCTTCAGAGTGAACATGTTTGTGTGTGCAGGGGTGTGCATATTAAAATAGCAAAAATTAGTTGATTAGCAAAATATCAAAAAATCTCAATTTCCAGCTTCTCAAGTGTCAAAAGTTTCCTGCTTTTCCTAAAAGTCTTATATTTCTAGGTTTTGAAATGCTGGTTAGAAAACAAGCTCAACAACTTTAGGTAGATGTTTCTGAGGTTTTACAAATCGAATAATTAATCAATTAATTGAGAAGGTATTTGGCAGAATAATAGTAAGCTAGTCCTGTCCCAATAGCACCTAACACATTATTAGCATTGGTGCACATACAGTAGAAATCCTTAAGAATTAAGGATAAGGATAATCACCTTTATTGGCCAAGTATGTTACACACAAGGAAGTTGTTTCTGGTACAGAACCGAGGCAGCCATCTGTGACGCCACCTCAACCAATGGCTCTAACCATCGGGGGCAACGGGGGGTTACAGTATCTTGCCCAAGGACACTTTGACATGACATGTGTATCAGATTGGTGTGACTTTGGGCCTCTGTGCCAGCAGCGCAACATCAGCAATTTAATTAGGAAAGGCATAAAATTCCCTATTAATGTTTCTGCAGTGATCAAATTTACTAACTCCAATAATACCTTTATTTATATACTGTAGCACTTTTCTAAACAGATTTCCAAAGTGATTTACAGTAAAAAGAACAATGTAAAACCATAAAAATGTTAAATTAAATTAGATTACAATAAGAAGAAGGGCAACACTGAATATAACAATAAAAAAATTAAAGACATAAAGAGTAAGACCAAAACAGTTGCAAGCGATTTAAATTATGCTAGCGATTTGGCTGGCATAACAGCTGAACTTGCTTTAACTTGGGGCAAGAGATTACAGTACTTCAAGTGAGAGGAAACAAAGACGTGGACGACTTTCTCAAGACCAGCAGCAGTTAAAATGATTTAATCTTAGATATTGTCCTGAAAGAAGCACGGTTTTACCGCCCTGGATACGCGACTTGAGTAATTTATAACCCCTAAACTGTGCACATGTGGATTGTTATGTTTCATGTATTAGGTGTTTTAGAAAAAGCTTAATAATGATCTGTTCCAAATTAATGTACTTTAAGAGTATTACCTTACCTATTTCAGCTTTACCAAGGATCACTTGTCCTAACCGCGTTTCTCTGTTGTTTCTGACGCCTACTTCTTTACTGTTTTGAGGTAGATTTTGATTCATCAGCTGAAGAAGATTTTGTACCATCTAGCTCTTGCAGTCGGGAAAACAGCTGAGGAGCCAGGCCATATTTTTCAGAAATACCTTTTGTTCATAAAATAAATGAATTGGTAGAAACGTTTTTTTTTTCTAAAATCGTTAATTAAAACTAAAGTTTTGAAATTGGACAGAGTGGACTTTTTCACTAAAGACATGACAACTGTGTGCTTAAAGCTAGATGGGAAACTGCCAGTTGAAAGAGAGCAGCTGATAATGGAGAGTATTAGATGCATGTTGTGAAGAGCAGGTTTTAAAAAAATCTAGAGAGCAGGAAGAAGATTTCATGGGGGCATGTATTCTCAATGGATGACAGGTTGATTGGCTCAAAATGAGTGGATAAATGATGTGGCTTGGGAGACGTGCAGTCAGTTGTCAGTTTATTAGGTACACCTAACTGAAACAAAGTCACTCTAATGCAACAGGTGTAAACTGAGGGGGTGACTGAAATACTCCCACAGTTGTCCCACTGTGAGAATATTCCTGCATGAGTATTTCTTTGACACTATTTGTTTTCCTCTTTTGATATTTGTATCAGACAGATGATATAAAGTTCATCTTCAACATTTTCTGCTTTTAAGCTCCAATACATACTGTAATTATATATTATCTTGATCTAATCTGTCATGTTCATTTTTTGATAGGATTTTCAAATTAAAAGTTAACAGACAAGAACAATTAAATTAGAAAGTTGTCTGAATATGTATATATTAAAAATGTGTACAGTGACGATGATCATTATTTAGGGGAGAGGGAAGATGGATATATAAAACAAAGGACTCTACCCAAAATATTCAGAGAAACAATACTGCATAAAGACCTTCTTTTCATGTTGTGTGTTTTGCAGATGCAGAAAGAGGGTAAAGAAGTATATGATGAGAACATCCACTATCCTCTCCTCATCACCTTGACCAAAGGACCAAAGACTCAGTAAAACACAAGCCCTCATCTATAAACAGTACCACACCACATGGAATGAAGACAGAGCCACCGTCTGAAGTGGAGTGATGCGACAGAGTCATGTCACCAGTGTGATCTGCATGTGAGCTAAGTGAGGACGAAGAGCTGCACTCAAAAAGCAGGACTAGAATATAGCAGGAGCAACGTTGTTTCTAAAACAGTGGGGATACCTTTACTGTGGCTGAGGAGAAAGAAAAAGAGATGATATATTCTGATCTAGTATGTTGTTATCATCAACTCCAGATTAGCCACTTGGTCAGTCAGTGCTTTAGTCATTTGTTCAGTCTGGTAGTTCACCAAACACTTACATGTAGTCGCTGCTATGACCAGCAAGTCACTCATCTAATTGGTTAATCAGCCATTCAGGAAGCTGAATCACATTGCCAAACAGTCACCAGCCAAGCTAACTGTCAGCTATTCAGTTTTCTATCATGACAGTTATCCAGTCATCATTCCAGACAAGAAGCCAGCCGGTAGTTCAGTCAGGCAGTTACAGTCGGTCCTACTGTGGGTGTCAGTTTTTTAGTCAGTTGCCTCTCTTTAACCAGTCAATATTGACCTTTGTCACTGTGTTTCTGGGCCCAGCTCAAGTTCATTAACTACCATGGATTGTGGAGCAGCTCACAGTTTCCACTGATTGTCATTTATTTCTCTTTGTTCCCTTCTTCTCCATTTAAATTTCTTCTAATATAGCTCATTCATCCCAGTCAGAGGTCAGTATTAACAACCTCTTTTATGCATTATATACAGTGCATTAACATATAAAGGCACATTCAGATGAAAGAGCAATTGTCACTGACTGTGAGCTACAGTTTACTTTGCCACACATACAAGTGCACACTTTACACCTGTACATCAGACCTGGTTTGGACGCTACACCTCCATACTCCACTAGTAGATGCTTAACTCACCTTCAAGAAGTGTGCAAGTCTAAAGAGAAACAGAGAGAGAATACATGCACATTATTTCTAACACTACTATAACAAGTGACCCCAATACTGTGGAGATTTAAAAAAAAAGACCATCAGTGTCCAAAGGGTGCAGATGCTTTACTGATGCACCAATGTCCACCGGGTCTATTACCACAGCAGCTCGGATGTTCATGCATTCTGAATCCACTGTATTTTTGCTGGAGCTGATTGAATCTCTAAAGTGCAACATTCACTTTTGTTTGATTATAAATGCCTATATAGTATATATTGAAATTTACAGAAAATTTGTTTTTAATGTACTCATTTGTTATTAATTTACTCTTTACTTACAAACAGCAAAACCATATTTGTTGTTTGCTTTTGTCTCTTCTAGGTCTTTGAAGCAGGAGACGGAATGTGGTGGTTTTGTTTACAGTAACTAAATCAAGTATAGCCACAAAGTATCTGTGCCTGTATGATCATAAATGAGCTGCAAACATGTTTTCAGTAATCATGTAACACATAAAAGATATCTGCAAAACAGAGTAGGAAATCTGACTGCTGACAGACAGACTGCTTGAACAAGCGCAAGCAGCCGCCCCTGGTGGACATCAGGGATAGAATATGATTTCAAAATGATAAACTATGTGCAACTATTGTTCTTGAAAGTCACACAAACTCCTAAAAACATCAAGAGCAAAATGTTTCACACAGTTACAGCTCCATTTTCTGTTGGCATGTTTTCTATCCAACCCACTGTTTTACTCAGGTGTTTCCCCATGCGTGTTCTGTTAAAAAACAGTAAGTGTCAGTGGGTCACTCAAGCCTAAAGTTGTACTATACCTATCACTGGTAAGGTGTTTCCATAGTCACTGTGATCCATTGTTGTGTACTGTACAATGGCCAAGAAGCTATGCAGGATCTCCCAGTGGCTGCTGTTTACATTCTTCATTCACATAAAAAAGGTATTCCCTGTGTGTGAGTACTCAGAAAGGTCAATCAAGCCAGTTTTACCAGTGGGTCTCGGTGATTTGAAGACTTAAATGGCATTGCCGAGGTCTAGTGTATTTTATAGCATTTTTATCTGTAATGCAGTTTGCTGTGTGTGGACTCGCATATAAATATCATCCCAACTGTGACCGTGTGCAGTGGCTTCATCACCACCACCAAAAGTGATGTCATTTTGCAACACCGCTGTTTACTGTGACATCTGTGCTGCGTTGCTGTTTCTTGCGGCAAAATCTTCACTTGATGCACCCACCATGATGTCACATTCTCACATGCTGATGCCATTACTTATTGTGCTATTATGACACTTCTCACTGTGACATCAACAGACGGTCCAGATAGTCAATGTTTTTCAGAGAAGGTTGTGGGGTTTTAATTTAGATTAGCTGACTAATAGAACGGGAGCTTCAACAGTCGGTGCGGAAAAGACCAGAGAGGAGAATCTGTGTTGCATTTGAGAAATATCTTGAGCAAACATCATACAAGAACGGCCTGGTCCAACAGATTTGTGTCACTGTGTTGTGGGGTGTCTCGGCCAGGCTATGTTTTTGAAGTTATTGCAATTTAATATTTCATTTGATTTACTTTAGTGTGGACATGGCCTGAAACAGCGAGTTTCTTCATTCAGTATACCAGATTTTCTCTTTTTGGCTGTAATCAATAGGTTGAATGTTGTACCTTCCTGTCTCAGAGTGGGCTATTTTTAATGAGTGAAAATAAAAACATTTTGTTCAAGGAGTTTGGGACTTTGAACTTGTTTTTTCTTTTTAAATTGTCCATCTGAAAATGTATAAGGACAACACATCTGCTGTACTTATGGCATTGCTTAATTAATAAAACCTTGTCTGAAATTGTTAAATAATTAAATTGTATCAAATTTAATGAATTATTTCAACATGCCAGTACAACAAAACAAAACAAACACTATTTATACTGTCACCTTGCAGATATCTAGATTTTCTATGATGATTAATTATATATTTCTTGAGTGAACGCTTGTTACGCTGCTTGTGAAAACGTGTGTGTTCCATTATTAAAAACTAATACTTAAATGCCGAGAGATTTAATAAAGTTTCCTTCAGGCCAGGCCAGTTGTGGCCTGTCAAACACAATTGCTTCCTGCAGGCTAAGCTGGTGCCAGACAAGGAAACACACACAGACAAAAACATATATCAAGCCCAGTCGACAGGCTGATGTGCAGGATTTACATGTAAAATTTCCAAGATTTATAACTTATTCTCTTTTGTTTTAACGTTGTCACTTCGATGACTTTAAGATAATGTACTCTCTAGTGTTTTTGTTGTGCTGCTACCTTTTGTTTAACCTCATAATTTACATTTCAACACCTGCTGAGATGACTCAGTAGTCAGTAGTACTCGGTAGATGACTGAGTAGTGAAGGAGAAAAGGGCAAAGAGAGATCCTCTCTATGCTTTCTATGTGCCCACATCCTGACAGAAACAGCAAAGTTTGGAGCAACCTATTATATAATTATTATCCTCTTTCTTCAAAATGAATTTCTATCCTGAAGAAGAGAGTTTTTAAATGATTTTCATGACACTAACCCTCCACAAGAGGAACAGAATAAAAGATAAAGAAGGAGGGAAAGGCAGTACACAGCAGCTAATCCTGCAGGCTCACTTTTCTTATCAGTTAGAAGGAGGGAGGGAGAGTTAGTAGAAAGGGAAGGACCAGTGAGGCCTCCCAATCTGTCTTTTGATATTTTAAAGAGGTCTCTTCTCTCCTCCCCAACTCTGTTGGAGAGACAGAGAGGAGAAATAAAAATGCTGCAGACAGAGGCCATGAAGAAAGAGGAGAGAAAAGAAATGGGACAAGAAACCGTGAATTGCTGGAAGGAAGGGCGAAGTGAGATGGCTGGAAATGAAGTGAAACTAGATCGAAACAGTGGGGAGAAGCTTCAGCTGTGAATGAAAAGAGAAGCTGGCTGAGAGACTGAGATTGACTGGCCCAGTGAGTGATCGAACTGAGAGAAAGAGAGAGACAGAGTGCTCCCAGCTCGACACAAGGGCCCCATTAACTTGACCACTTGCCCTTTGCACACAAAGACATGGCCGTCCCACTGCCCCTCCCACCCAATTATCCACGATTAGGCTCAGTGCATTGTGTCAAGATGGAGAGGGAAGGAAAAGAGGAGAGGGGGAGAAAGGCTAGCACAGGGAGCAGAAAGAAGGGGACAGAGGGAGTAAGGAGAAGTGAGGAGAGGCTGAAAGGAAGTGATGGATGATAAAATTGTTAACTTTGAAGGGATTCAAACACTTGATTTAGCATCCTCCATACAAATGAGCATTCCGTAAATTATCATGGTGGCAGAGAGAGCTGAAATGCAAAGTCTCTGGGAAACTTCCACTACTGTGACATGCAACTTAACTGTGTTTGCTTGTGTTTTTATTTTTGTTGTGTGTTTCTATTTATCATCAATGTTTTGTCAGACTAGTTTCTCAGTTTGCTTCTGTTTGATGTATTTGTAATCTTTTATTTCTCTGTGAAACAAAGTGTACGTGTTTCACAATGAACTAAAAGACATCTAAAAGCTAAGTAGAGCTAAGAGGTTCAGCTACAATGCAGGCACATTGCACCATGTTGTGCTCTGTTGATTCTCTGCTAGCATGGCACAACACTGCTGACAGCAAATGTGCACATGTACTGTATTTCAGTGCAGTTTCTGCCCACACTTCAACTGGGATGTTTTTGATGCTACGATCCTGCAGCTCTCCAAAAATTCATAACACAACTAATAAAAGTACAAGTCCAAAAAAAAAACCAACAAAAAAACAAGTGTTTATTTCAGCAACAGCACTGACATTTTCCATTAGTTTATGTTTTTCCTCTATAATAATAACAATAATAAGGTCAAGACCTTACTTTGTAAAGTGTCTTGAGACGACGTTTGTTGTGATTTGGTGCTAAACAAATAAAAGATGAATTGAACTGAATTGAAAGTAAAGCTATGTAACTTTCAAATGTACAAAAAGAAATGAAAAACAAAAGTTAGATTCCCAAACATTAAAAATAAGGTTCCAAACCTTAGTTTTGGTTGCTAAAGCTTAATCTTAATCTAAAATGTTCAGGTACAACCACTTTCTGGATAGTTTGGTGGTGTGATACAATCTCCTGTGTTCCCAAGCATCAAGATGTGAACAAAGGTGTAAAGGCAAAGACCACAGTGGCACACTCCACAGCAGTAGGTGGCAGTAGTGAGTCACTTAGTTGCATTTAGTTTTCCAACCTGTATGAAACCTAAAAAGAACAAATAGGAATATGGCTACAACAAACATGTAGGAGGAAACAGAGGAGCCATTACTAATCAGAACATTTAGTGTTACAAGTAAAAAGAACACAGTGAGTTATTAGAGGGTCAGCAGGCCAGAGGAAAGTGACAAATAATGGAGCAACACAAGTACTGTATTACCCTTGGTCCAACAAATACACAATAAAAAGGACTGAAGCAACAGTTGGCAGTTGCTTCGTTCAACAGGTAGGCTAATGTAACTTCTATGATGAGCTTCTACTGTGTTGTTTAGTGTGGCAGACCTGTTTTCTGCCATTGTTGTTTGTGGCTGTGACTTGGTGTTCTAATGTTAGGAGTATGAATTTCAGACTACTGACCCTCAGACTGTGTTCCTAACTGTTCATCTAGCTCATCTACAGCAACCAGAGTGTACTGTGTGTGGTGTCGGAGGATGATGGATTGTAATGTTGGTGGAATATACTGTTTTGTGTTGCTGTGGCTCAGCTGATGGAAGGCCTTTCCTTGTTTCTAGTCATTCAGCCAGTATAAAGCTAAATCCTAGTAACTTTATTTTAGCCGCTATGCATTCTGATGTTTCCAGTAATGAAATAAGATGAGCTGTTTGCTGATTTGACATGAGTGGATAGCTTGATTGCTGCTTTGTATATGGATGTAGATTTTGTACATCTTGCATAAGCAGTGAAGTTTTACTTAGTGGTTTGCTGCTTGATCTACTGTTATTATAAAAATGATAAATATAGCAGCTTTAAGTTGAAGTACATTTAAGCTCTCTTGGCCATTGTGTAAACAGTGCACCCTACACTACACTACTTGGACCAAGGGCC